TACTCTTGGAAGATAGCAGTGAATTAAGATTGCCATAGTATTAGTCGATTGTTCATAGGGATGAACATAACAATGCCACGCGACCAATACTAATGAGTACTTAAAAATGGAGACTTTAAGTATTGGAGTAATCATGCTTAAAGATTACTCCATGGATCATGTCATGAGTAAATTAAGATGATTGTATTTCTTATTCTTCAAATGGAGATGCATGAGGTTTTGTTCTACAATCTGGTACACTGGTCTTTCCCCCAACGTTGTCCGTAACAGGCACCCATATAGGGTTTGACTAGATATCGCATGAGGAATAGTATTGACCTATGTAGTCAAAGTTTATTTGATCCTTCTGCTATAAATGGAGAACTAGAAATCTTTGGGTCCCTCGTTGATTTTTCTTGACAACAAATGTTAGGCCAAGTTGAGACTGAGTTGATTTGATTTGATAGTCATTCTGAAGGTCACCACAAGTCGGTATCAGGAAATATTATCTTAAACCATGAGATTAACCCTAGATCCATGTCTCTAAATCATAATAAGATACCATGAAGATCAAAAGAATTTAAAGTTATCAGTCTTAGAGTTGTTTATAGCAAAGTTGTTATAAGCACAATAGTTGCATTGGACTGCCACTCACTTTTGTTCCTAGTAAGTATTAGACCGGTTAATTGTTGATGTTGAGCTTATGGAGATTAGCGCCCATAACCATAACAAGCCCAATGATATTACTATAAATAGCAATGTCCTTTTGGGTTACACGTAAGAGCAAAATAAAGCAGAATTGAAAAGATGTTTATATGATAGACTTGTTTGGTTAATTAATTAATAGTTTAATTAATCAATTAGAAAAATAATGGAATACGGAATATTCCAGAATAATTTGAATTCCATGGATAATAATTATCTTTAGGGTTTTAAATCATTACCCTATATAATAAGGGCTCCAAATCCGGTTTTGATACTTGTGAAAAATACCTTTCAGCTACCAAAATTCGGAACCCTCAAAACCTTAAAGAATCCCAAAGTGCAGTTCCTAAGACGTGACACCCTGATCACCACGTCATGGTCAGTCACAAAATCGAGATTTTGATTCGGTTTGCAGGTCACAGTTCGAGGATTACTTAGATATGCTTCTACTTTGCTTCTTGGCTATGATTACAGAAATATGAACTTTCTGTTGGGTTCTCTAGGTCAATCAACTGGCTCATCAAAAGAAGAAATCTACAAAGAAATCCAAGGTATGTTTTTGTTTCATGATGTCCTAATGAGTTGCATAGATTGTTGAGTTAGATATGTTGTTTCGGGTCTATTAGATCAGAATTGTTGTTTCCGTTGGCCATTATTTTGGTCTTTGACTAGGCTCGAAACCCATCAATATCACATCATACACCATGAGGCATGATCCAACCCATTAAGGCATGCCTACACATGATTAGGGACGTCTCATTAATTTTAAGCTCCTTATGCGAAAGTCAAAATGGAGCCCTAAATATATTTTTTATTTATATAAACAAAATTCGTTAATACTATAAAAACAATCAAGACAAAAGAACGATAATAGGATATTAATTTTACATAGTTACAGGAATTATGAGACTCTCCTAATATTCTTGAAAGCAAAGTTGATCACTAACTTTTCATAGTTACTTGAGCTATTGCTTGCTGCAAATCTACATTAGTCTATTATTAGCCCAAATGCAAATTTTAATTTTAAGCCAAAATTTTAAAATATAAGCTTTTGAAGTTTTTAATTTTAGCGTGAGCTCTTGGAATTGAAACAAAACAATAAAACATAAGTTTTTGTCTTTGGATTATAGGATTGCCGATTGCTAGACAATGAATTGAATCAATGTAAAATTGGGCTCCTTCCAATACATAAGTTACGGACGATCGTACACCTCGCACACCTTGAAAAACATTTGGTGATGATTCAGTGATCAACTATACGAAGCAATGATCGAACATCGATCACCAAATTTTCTTGTTCCATGCAACACAACTATTCTATAGCTGTATATGTCTAGGACGGGACAAAGACAAATACTCGTCCCGATAATAAAATCGAAGAATGAATTAGTGGCACCTATATTTAACAAAATTTCAGAAATAGTCCTTGTAAATTTATCAAGTTTGCAATTTTAGTTAACTATCGAAAAACTGACTGGTGTCAAACCCTATAACTTTATTTTCTTACCGTATGGTCCCTAGTCCAAGCAAAATCATAATTGTACTATCTGCTTAAAATTTTCTTTTTCCTTTTTACTTTTACTCTATTTTAATATTTAGAAAAAAAAAAGACCCACCTTATCCAACTATAACTCTTAAGGTCAGACGGAATGGATGCAGGGAAGCCCCACGGGAAGCTTCCCGCCCGGCAGAACACCGCCCCGTCGGTGCGGGGAAGGGTGGCGCGGGAACAGGTGAGGGGAGGCTCTCCCGCGTTTTCTCTCTGTCGATGATTGGCCAATATTTTTTTTTTCTTTTTTCCCTTAAACTAGCCGTTGGTTAACGGTTAAAAAAAAATCTTTTTTTTACTAACGGGTATATGCATTTAAGACCCATTTTTTTTGTTTTTGTTTTTTTAACTTTTTAAACACCTATAAATACCCAATTATTTACCTTCAATCCACATTCAAAAAAACCTCTATTCCCTTTATTTTCTTCTCTCCAAAAAATATTAGTCAAAATGTCATCATCTTCATCATCCGATTCGACGGCTGTAGAGGAGGCTAAGTTTATCGGTTCCGTCATGGCGAAACGGTTGCATACTATCAAAACCGACTAGGCGAAACATCACGTGCACGATCTAAACCAAGAAAGTCGCGGTTGCGTAGAAATCACGAAGCCGGACACGATCGTCTTGTAGAAGATTATTTTGCAGATGACGCCATCTACGCTGTAAAGTTTCGACGTCGGTTCCGGATGAGGAAGGAACTATTCTTACGTATTGTTGGCGATTTGTAAGGCCGCTTTCCATATTTCCAATGGAAAATGGATGCAAGGCGGATAAAAGGTTTCTCTCCCGTTCAAAAATGCACGACTGTAATTCGTCAGCTAGCATACGGCATGGGCGCAGACAAATGGGACGAGTATTTTAGGATGTCAGAGCGTACCGTGCGGGAGTGTGTGTACAAGTTCTGCAAAGCGATCTGTTTGGTTTATGGGCAACGATATTTGCGCAAACCAACTATCAACGATATCCACCAATTGTACACGGTGCATGAAGGCAAGCATGGATTCCCTAGAATGCTAGGTAGTATCGGTTGCATGCATTGGAGTTGGTCAGTATGCCCCAACGCATGACGTGAAGAGCCGACGATCATTCTAGAGGCTATCGCATCACATGATCTTTGGATATGGCATGCATTCTTTGGTCCAACTGGTGCAAACAATGACATCAATGTGCTAGACCAGTCGCCGGTATTCAACGATATCTACCTTGGAAAGTCGCACGATGTACCTTTTCAAGCAAATGGGGTAGCATATAAGCGTGGATACTATCTTACTGACGGTATATATCCTCCATTGTCTGTTTTTGTGAAATCGTTTACATGTCCTAACGACCCGAAAAGGAAAAAGTTTAAAGAGGCGCAAGAGTCAGCCAGGAAGGATGTGGAGCGAACATTTGGTGTACTTAAGAGACGTTGGCAAGTACTAACGGTCGGGGCAAGGTCATATGAAGTGAAAAGGTTACAACACGTAATGTATGCATGTATCATATTGCATAATATGATTCTTGAAGACGAAAGAAGAGCGATATGCCGGTACAACGAAAATGAAGTTTTGTCAAATGTCGAAGGAGTAGCCGTTGGTACACAAGAGTATAGGATGAATAGAAGAGAAGTACATAATCGCGACATTCATCAGGCCCTTCGTGCTGATTTGGTGGAGCACATTTATAGGGCTCATATTCAGCCCCCGTTAGAGTTTTCTCACGATGATTTGTTTGACGAAGCAGACGAGGATTCTGATATGTTCGTCGAGAGTGATGATTCCGACGACGAGAGTGACGCTGGGGAGAATGATGAAGACGATCAAGACGATGACAAGGACGATGAGGGCGATGACGAGGACGATGATTCCGAGTGACATATTTTGGTTTATATAAAATTAGGATATTAATTATGTTTTCTATGTTGTGGGTTGTTTGATTTTTTGTTTGCGTTTTTTTTTTCTACTTATTTAAATATTAGGTTTAATGTAATTTTTATTTTAATTAATGAAATGCTTTTTATTTTTAATTAAATTTTATGTTTAGTATTAATTTAAAAATTATAAATCATAAAAAAAATTAATTTTATTTAAAAAAAAAAAAAATGAGGGAAGCTTTTCCCACCCATTCCTTGGGTTTTAGGTGAGGGAAAGGAAAGTGAGGGAAATTGGGGTATGACCCACAAAAAGTGATGGAAGCTTTCCTCCAATACCCTCCGGTCTAAGTCAAAACTTCTTTTTCAACTTAAAACAATGTCCAATTATATCAACATTTTTTAAAACTAGAATCCTAAATTTGCATGCTGTTTAAAGTGGGTTTAGAAACGAACCAATTTTAAACCAGGTTCAGGACCGGCTCCAACCCGGTTTAGATCTATCTACTTTACAATTAACTCGAACACAAGGCACTCAAAATTCATAAGAAAGAAATTTTAATATTTTATTGATTTCAAGAAACTGCCAAAAGCTTAATCTACACTTAATTAGACAGGCGTTGTCAAATTTCAAATAATTAAATTTGATCGGAGATTACTAAAATTAACATGCTAACTAATCATGTTATTTATATAAATAATAGAAATCACAAGATCTTACAACCAATAAACAAATATAAAACAATGATACTTTCTTAAACAAACCTCATTAACACATACAAACACCAGACTTGAAGTCTCACTAATCACCAACCGGTTGTTGCATGAATAACTTGTCATCTCTTGCTTCCAACCCAAGTCAACTCTCACTCACTACCAACATAAATAAAACCTACCTTTCCTTCATTCCACTACTTCAAACACTACTCTACAAGTGCAAATGACAAATTTACCCTTCCGGACCCACTACCTATTCCCGGCTGCACTCGCATCACTTCTTTTCCTCGGGTCCCTGCGAATTGTCTTGGACAATTTACAAAACAGCCACCACACCTGCGCCTTTTTCCGGCCACTGAGTGGTGGTTATCGTGTCATCAGACCACCCATTCGTGTCTCCGATGAAGAAACCATAAAAGACGGCTGCAATATCTTTGAAGGGAAATGGGTTCAGGGAAACGGGTCGTACCCGCTTTACACAGAAGAAAGCTGCCCGCTTTTGGTCAAACAAGTGACCTGCCAGAAAAACGGGAGGCCCGATTCGTCATATCAGAAGTGGAAATGGCAACCAGATGGATGCAATTTACCAAGGTCGGTCAAACTCAAAACTCAAAAACAAACAGTTTTGCCTCTTCAAAAATAAACAGCCCCTTAAATTCGACTTCTTTGTTTTGATTTTGACAATTGATGTGTTTTTGATAGGTTCAATGCTTTGAAATTGTTGGAGATTTTGAGGGACAAAAGACTCATGTTCGTAGGGGACTCGGTTCAAAGAAGCATGTTTGACTCGATGGTGTGTTTGGTGCAATCTGTGATTCCTGAAGGCAAGAAGTCTCTTCGAAGAGACCCTCCAAGAAAGATTTTCAGAGCTGAGGTAATCTGTTGTAAACACATGTATCTTATGCAGTTGTTGTTGTACATTACGCAATTTCTACTGGTAATGTTTTAGGAATACAATGCATCTATTGAGTTCTACTGGGCTCCATTTCTAGTCGAGTCTATTTCAGATCATGCAACGAATCACACAGTGATGAAACGATTAGTCAGACTTGACTCGATATCTAACCACAGTAAACAATGGGAAGGAGTTGATATATTGGTCTACGAAAGCTACGTATGGTGGATGTATAAACCCACGATCAATGTCACGTTAGTTCTTGATCACCTTTTCAAGATCCACACAAACTTCAAAAATCAAAACTTTTTCCTATTTTGTGTATGTAAAATACTAAAAAACATTTCAGGTATGGTGATCTTGGACATGTTGAGGAGTATAATGTAACCATAGCGTACAAAATAGCAATGGAAACTTGGGGAAAGTGGATCGAAGCCAGTATTAATTCTCAATCACAGAAAGTTTTCTTCATGACTATGTCTCCAACACACTTATGGTGAGTAATTTACGTCAATACCCTTGTCAATGATTGATAATGAAAAGGTGAAATCGGATATTACAGGAGCTGGGAGTGGAAGAATGGAGATGATGGGAACTGTTTCGGTGAATCGGAACCTATACAAAGACCGTATTGGGGAACCGGTTCAAATCTTGATATTATGGGGATTGTTAAAGATGTTTTGGGAAAGTTGAGGGTTGATGTGAGATTATTAAATATTACCCAATTGTCGGAGTATAGGAAAGATGGTCATGCATCGGTTTATGGTGAAAGGAAAGGGAAATTGTTGACAAAAGTGCAAAGATCAGATCCGAAAAACTATGCGGATTGCATTCATTGGTGTTTACCGGGAATTCCTGACACGTGGAATGAAATTTTGTATGCGGTTTTGTTACAGGATTATCGTGTTTCTTGATATTATTTGTAGAATAGAGAAAAGTACTTTGATAACTTTGTATTTAAAAACAATTTTTGGAGAGGAAATGAGGGTTATAAATTGAAAATTTGGGAGGAAGACTGAAGGATTCAAGAACACATCTCAATCTTCATACACAAGCGTCAATGGAGCTAAAGTAGTGCTAACCTCTGTAAACTTTGTTCAACTAATCAAGGAGGTTTTTACTTTATGTTTTTACGTTCTTGAGCTTATTTTGTTGAACATTAGTTTATTAAACATTTGGTTCTAAGGCTGTGGCAATATATTTTACAATTAAGGGACATAAGTGTTCTTAAAACACACAATGTGTAAGTACGCAAAAGAAACTAACAAGCCACTAGATACGATGACTACTTCCATTATGAACTCATAGAAAAGCATATTGATACATAACTAGTGTTCAAAAGAGCAACATGCATGGTAATCATTCACCACAATTATAAAGAATGGTAGTTACCTAAACAAATTAAAATAAGTAATCCACCATAAGAAGAAGCGCCACCAGGTCCTCCACCACCAAAATGTGATGCAAAAGAACCCTGCATTGAGCTTTTCTGGTTCAAATTCATTACTTAATTAGGGCTGAGCACCATCACCTGATCCTTGAACTTGGGGGGGCGCGGTGGTGGCAGCTGGTGGTGAAGGCATACCGCTAAGATTTCCTCTTTTATTATCATCAGCAAATCCACAATTGAGTTGATGCCCATCGGATGAATCAACGAAGCCATAGCACCCTCCATCAATCAACGAACGACACATCTAGGGTTGGTTTGTGAATTCGCCATAGCACCCTCCATCAATCAACGAAGCCGAGTAATAGTCATTCTCCCATCAATTTGATTGCTAGGTTCCATTAAAGCCATTAACGCGCCATCTCTATACGTAACAAAACCGTAGCCTTGACTATTTCCGGTAACCTTATCGACAATCACAATGGCATATGTAGCAAATAAAGCGCGGAGTTTGTCGGTGGTTGTTCCCAACCAGGCTGCGTATAAATAGTTTGTGTTGGTTGAGATCATGGTCGGCGATTGATCTAACGGGTAACGGCGTCAAGGACGTCTGGGTGACGGATGGAAGTTGTTAGAACGATTTCAGACAGCTGTTCTGGGTGAAAGGTTCGATGACTTATCGGAGGGATTCATTCAACTACAGAAATCCTAGTGAAGATTGTAGCGAGAGTGGCAGTGTTGGTTGTTTTCTTGAATGGTGTGGGATAGAATTTTAATTTGTAAAATCCAGAAAGTAAAGGGATCCATTTGCTATTTTGGATTTTGCTCATTATAACCCTCTTTTTAATTTTATTAAATGACAGATTCAACCTTCAAATTTAAATGACCCCACCAGTTTGCCACTTTATTCCCATTGTTCTTTTTTCAAATTCGATCCAAGCAAATTTTCTCGCATATTAGATGGTTTTTGTTTGGCTTTTTAACGACAATTTCAAATGAACTTTCATCCTACATACATTAGTACCACATTTTTTACATATAGTTTTAGAATTAGAATGTAAATAATTACAAATGATAAGACTGCGTTTAGTTGCGGAAAAATGGGCCGTTTTCCGGAAAAATTTTCCAAGAAAAATGAGAATTTTGAAAACGCGTTTAGTTCGTCTATTTTTCTAAATTTTTCACGGAAAATTTTCCGTTTTCTAAAATTACAAAGAAGTTGGAAATTTTTGGAAAACTGATAATCATTGTTTTCCACATTTTTCTAATTCCAAAATTTTTCTAAAATATAAACATACACCCACTCCCACCCCATCCACCTCTACCTACCCCCACCTTAACACCCCTCACCCACATACACACACACATACATACCCACCCCCCCACACACACACATACATACCCACCCCCCCACACACACACATGCATACCCACCCCCACACACACCCCCCGCACACACACACACACACACCAACCCACAAACACACACACACACACACATACATACCCACCCACACACACACACGCCCGCACACACACACACCAACCCACAAACACACACACACACATAGATACCCACCCATACACACACACACACCCACAAACACACACACATACATACCCACCCCCACACACACCCACCCACAAACACACACACACCCACCCACCCGCACACACACACACACACCAACCCACAAACACACACACACATACATACCCACCCACACACACACCCACCCACAAACACACACACACACATTCATACCCACCCACACACACACCCACCCACAAACACACACTCGCACCCCCACCCACCCAACACCACCACCACAATCACCGACCTACCATCACCATCACCACCAACACCACCACTAACCCGTCACTAGCATCACCACCACCGTTGCCGCCGCCATCACCACCACTGACACAATTGCCGTCGCCGCCACCATCGCCTGTCATCACCACCACCGCCGCCGACCCGCTACCGTCACCACCCCCACCCACACCCTACCACCGCTACCGTTTTCTAAAAATGAAAACCGATAGAAAAATACACATCTAAACACGTTTTCTAATTTTCTAAAACTGAAAATGAAAAATGAATAAGTTTAACTACACACGTTTTCTAAATTTTTCAATGAAAAATGGAAACGGAAAACGAAAATCGAAAAGGGAAAACAAAAAACGGAAAATGAAAATTGTTTTTCCGTAACTAAACGCAACCTAAAATTTTCAATCAATCAAGTTGAGGGGTGACATTAGCATAAATACAAAGTTTTGGAGTTGAAGTGCCATAACAAGAAACTGCTTAAAACAGGCCAAACAGGGTACGCCTTCAGGGTTTGAGAAGAGCAGTTGCGAGTGAAAAAACGTCTGGTTCGTCTCCCTATCCAGTCATATCACTAACGACTGGTTCGTCATAAATTCTACCAGGTGATTCTCATCTACCGATGAATCGACGTACACATATCAGCAATTCGGTTTATATTTGAAACCATAAACAGTTTACTTCATTCCTCCATCTCGATGTTTGACTACCAACTGTTCGACCATTTGCCTCAGAGATGCTGTCCTCTCCTTTGTAAGCTCACCCCCCCCCCCCCCCCCCTTCTAATTCCTTCATCCCAAACCACGATTCTGTTAACTCTCTATATGTATGTTTATGTGGGTACGCTCTAATTTATTCGTCAATTGTATGTTACAATGTTTATTGCTTTGTTAGTCGATTATGTATCAAATTGAACACAGTTAATGTGTCCTTTAAATAAGGTTATTCTACTGCTGACGATAGTTTCTTTCTTCAGGAATTTATCTGTTACTTATGCAAACAACAGTCTGGTCCCAAACACCTGTTCTTCACAATCTTTTTATCATTTTGTGGCGCGGCTGGATTACAGTATATCTCCCAAATTGGTATTTGTTAGTTCTTCCAGAGAAGGTCAATTACGTAGATTATTTCACTGCAATACTCATCCAAATAAGGCATCAAACTTCTTGGAATCAAGAAATCAACTTAATTCCAGCTACCTTGAAAGGGAATCTTCGGCAAAAAAGACAGATTCAGATAACTTTTTTATCGAACAAAGATCAGATAAAGATAAGAACGAAATGGAAAGAAGGATGAAAATTGGATTAGCAAACAAGGGAAGAATTCCATGGAACAAAGGGAAGAAACACACTGCAGGTATAGAATCTTTTAGTAAATAGGATACCAAAATCCATAAGGGTTGAATACTTGAAACCTTGAATTAATTGTAAAGTTGTGTCATACAGGGACTCGTGAGTTGATCAGTCAGAGAACTAAAGAAGCTTTAAAAGACCCCAAGGTGTGAAGTCATGTAAGGGGCTGTTGGTTTAAATATATTATTTAAACATAGGTCCCACATAATTTTCTTGCATTATAGTGGTCTTTCACTTATAGATGCTTGTGTTTTTCAGGTAAGAAAGAAAATGTCTGAATGTCCTCGAACTCTTAGGTATAATTATCAATTCCCACTTTTAGCTATAAAGAGATCAAAATGCATAATTCCATAAAACATAGTGATTTACATATATGCATATATGTATCTGCAGTGAGGAAACTAAGGCAAAAATACGCAAAACAATTACAAAACAATGGAGAGAGAGATTGAAGATAAAAAGATCAGGTGAGAGGTTTATATCATTGTGGGCTGAAAGCATTGCAAAAGCTGCTAAAAATGGAGGACATGGTCAGAAAGAATTGGATTGGGACAGCTATGAGAAGATTGAAAGAGAGATTGTTCTTCAACAGCTTCAACGTGCTGCTGACGTGGCAAAAGCAAAGGAAATGGCACAAATACGAGCTGAGAGAAGAGCAAAAGCAAAAGCTGAAAAGGTGAAGCTTACTTTAAAGAAACGGGTGGCGAAAGTAAAAGGGTTAGTGAAGAAGAAATCAAAAGAAGAAAAAGAGGAGTTGGCAGCAGCTGAGGATTTGAAACTGAAAGAGAGATTAACAAAGGTAAAAGCTTGTAATTCAACATCATTTTTTTGAAAAAAAATCATGAAGCTTTTTGGGATTATTTCTATGATGAGGGTATTTATGTTTTTGCACAGACAAAAGAACTTTTAAGTATCTTTTTTTTTTTTTGTTGGGTGGCAGATTCACAGGAAAAGATCTGTAAATGAGCAGCTTAGTAGTCGAGATCAAAGAGCTTGGGAAAGACTTGACCTTGAGATTTTGAAGAGAGACATAAAGAAAGACGATATTTCTCTTGCTGATCAAATTCGTGAAGTCAAGAACAAGAAAGCAGAGATTTTGACAACTATGCCACCTAATCATTCATCTGCTTAACCTTGTGAGGGGGTAAAAAGTAAAAACACTTGTTGGATGCAGACTTTTAACTATAAACATAAGCCAGGGTAGTTGATTATTAGATCCAAGAGTTTTTGTGGTGGTTACAAGACCTTTGTATGCACAACTTTGATGATAGTTCTGGAGGCAAATGATGTTATGTGATTCGAAGGTGAATGATGGTTTCAATCTGATTATTGCAGTTTTGATTCATAGATAATCAATTTTTAGTCTTGGATAAAGGGCTAATAACATAAAAAACATTATATTTTGTCACTTTTATCCGTTTGATCACGAGTATTAAATTGTGTTAGAAAAACCACTCATATTTTCATAAAAATCTCATCACTGCGACCACTATCCATTTTATTTTTCTATTTTATTTTTAGGCCTTATTTTTATCGAAAAAAATTAATATATTAAAATTTATAATCTTTTATTCTCTTCAAACAAACATCTATATCGATACATATATTGATGTGAAACTGCAAATTTCGGTATTTTTTTTTTTGAAAAACCATTTGGTTTCAGTTTTGTATGATTTAATCTTAGTTTTTCTCTTGAAAAACTATTTGATTTCGGTTTTTCTATGATATAGTTTCATTTTTTTTTTGGTTAAAAAACCATTTGCGTTTGGTTCTTTTGTGTTTGAAAACCCAAACCGAAATCAAATAGTTTTTTCAGTCCCAAAAAAAGAACCGAAATCGAATGAAAGTTGCGCTCCCTGACTAAACTATAGAATCTAAGGGCGAACAGAGTTGGTCACAACTCATGGCGGGGTGAAGGAGGTATCGCCGGCGGAACAACTCCTTGCATGAAGAGATATCGCGGAAGAAAAGGATTTTCTCTCTCTCTCTCTCTCTCTCTCTCTCTCTCTCATATATATATATATATTATATATATATATATATATATATATATATATATATATTGGTTAATTGTAATTCATGCATAAAAAGTTCTACTAAAATGTGTTTATATGTTTTTAATTTGTAAATTTGTTTTGTATTTTTTTTTTACTATTTTGTGAATTAGTTTGTGTTTCTTTTAAAATAAAAAATTAAGTAAGTTGGAAGGAATGAAAAATATTAGGTTTCATGTGTTGTGGATGAGAATGATGAAAATAAGAGAAAAGAGAAACATTTGTCACAATGACATTTTTAAAAAAAAAATTAGGTAATTTTTTTAGGACAAAAAAATAGGACATTACCAGTAAAAACGACATTTATGGGTCACAATTATAGATGGAAACGAGTCGTGGATGGGGCCGGGTTGGTCATCCCTGCCCTCGTCCCCGAGTCTCTTACCTCGTCCCAATCACTATGCTCATCCCCCACGGGTGCGGGGAACTGAATCATCTCCCCTCCGGATTTTGGACATATCCCAACCCTTCCCCAATCAATCCCCGATCTATCGAAATAAACAAACTCAAATTATGGTTAGACCCGAAAATAGATAAATTTCTCTAACTATATATAATATCTAGCGTTTAAAAACATACATATAACGGTAAGTTTTTTTAAA